CTAGTAATAGGCTGGCTCCCGACTACCTGAAGGTTGCCGGGCCCTGGTCTATCGCAAGGTTTCCAACAACGGGAAACCGCAACTCACATTGGTCTGCTCGAAAACGAAGGTCGCACCGCTCAAACGGCTGACAATCCCACGGTTAGAACTCACCGCAGTTCTTCTTCTTGCCAAACTGACCAAGTACGTCAAGGACCAACTCAACCTCACGAACGCCACAACTTATCTTTGGACGGACTCGTCGGTCACGCTCACCTGGATGAGCTCTCACTCATCAAGATGGAAGGAGTTCGTGAAAAATCGGCTATCACTCATTCAGGACCTCACTCAGCAGACTCACTGGAGATTGGTATCAGGCAAGGAAAATCCCGCAGATTGTGCATCTCGAGGTCTATCAGCACATCAGCTGGTCGCTCATAAGCTGTGGTGGACACGGCCACCATGGCTTCAGCAGGTCAGCTCATCATGGCCGACTCACGCCTTGGAAAAGGACCTTAGCGTAGACCTCGAGGAGAAGCCAGGAGTTCTCTTGCATGTCAAGACTCAACCGGTCGCTCTCTGGGATCCCATCGACTGATTCTCATCGCTCAACCGACTGCTCAGGCTCACAGCAGTCTGTCGAAGATTCATCGCTCGGCTCAGGAGAGTCCCTCATTCATCTCTTCGGTACCCGCTCACACTTGGTGATCTGGAAGAGGCTCGGATCCTCTGGATCTAACTCACACAGGCAGCTCACTTCAAGGATCAACTCAGAACAATCTCACGAGGGGAGAGAAAGTAAATCAGTAAATCTCACCCTCTCAGCAAGCTCACACCTTTCATCGATCACCAAGGGGTACTGAGAGTTGCCGGACCACTCAAGTTCGCTCAACCTGGTCCAGAGAGCCGAAATCAAGTCATCATTCGGAAGGAATCTCGACTGGCTCAACTGCTCATAGGACAAGCTCATCTAAGGGCACTCCACGGAGACACACAACTCACCCTGCGACAGCTCAGAAGCAGCTACTGGATACTCGGAGGCCGGGCACCAGTACGCTCCTTTATACTCAACTGCGTTAAATGCACTCGCCAACGTGGAGTAAGCGCGCAACAGCTCATGGGCTAGTTGTCACCAGCCAGACCCACTCCCGCTGGAGCCTTTCTCAACACTGGGATCGACTATGCCGGCCCAGTGGTTCTACCGTCCTGGAAAGGGCGGGGACACAAGTCTTACAGAGGCTGGTTGGCCATCTTTATTTGCATGACCACCTCAGCGGTCCATCTCGAGGTCGTGTCAGACTACTCAGCCGAAGGGTTCATCGCGGCGTATAGACGCTTCTCAAGTCGGCGTGGGATCGCTCATTCCTTGTTCAGTGACTGCGGAACCAAGTTCCTTGGCGCTGACAAGGGACTAAAGAAGCTCTTCTCGTCAGGATCAGCTCAATCAAGACAGCTCGCACAGCTCCTCATCAACGATGGGACTCAG